AGCTCCTTACAAATCAATTTTAATGTAATCTGAAAAGTTCCGATTTTGGTACAGTTATTACTTTCAGTTTGATTTCATTTCTGCTTTTAAAATACAGCTTTCTAGAGACCTTACATTAACTTCACAGATTACAGCTGACATTGAACAGAGGTGTAAGGTATAAACCAAATATAAGAGACCATCCATTTCCATGCATGATTAAATGCTGACTCAAGGTACTGCAGTATTTTTGATCCCCAAAGTTTAATAACATTCAGGACAGGCAATAAGGAGTCGCAGACAAATTAAAATTTATTGAGACAGACAAAAATGCAACTATTTCAGACTACAGTTAAGCATTTACAGTTAACCAAAGATAGCAAAATGCTCACATTCCACTTAACTCCTTATGGAAAAAGCATTCAGAATTTACTATGCAATTCTACTTACTATGATAGTCTACATCCATCTACAGTAGGGACATCAAACTGAAACACGTAATATTTTGGATCTCTCCTTACAGATCTACACGTTTAACAGTAAAGGACGTCAACAGCATTGAGAAAAAGTATAAAAAGACCAAAACCCACCTACTGTAGAAAGGGCTTTTTGATGTATAGTAACTGTACAAAGCAGTCTATGTGTTAAAGGAACTTGAGTGGCATACAGAAGGGACTGCAATAAAAGCCAACAAATGTAGGAAGCTAAGCTCGAGCGATCTGGTGGTCTGTACCAAGTGGTGACCTTAGATCTATGTCATTTGCTGCTTGGGGAAAAATGCTACAAAACTCCTAATATCAAAATATTCCCATGCTAGAAATGTACACGGAGACTTAACAGACCAGGCTGGAGAGGCAAAGAGAAGCATTCACTAACAAACAGTGTGGTTTTAAATATAAACTTTACATTTTCAATATAAACTGTAGAATAAATATTAAATAAAGACTTCAAATGGCTTAAAATAATAGTACAGAATAGCTTAAAAAAAAAGGCAAAGAAAAGGAAAAGGATTCTTTGTGTTCACAGCAAAGGCCAGTAATGACCCAAAAAACCCAACTGTGCTGAAATCTGAACTCAAGGAGATTTTGATTTAACCACAGTAGTTAAAAGGACACCTTGAAACATAAAGCAATGCCTAACAGTATTTCATAGACTCTAATAGGAAAAGAAAATGAGATTAAAAATTGGTTTGTGTCACTAAAAGAATGGGACAACTCTGATTCCCTTTTTCACAATGAGAAAATGTTTGGAAGGTCAGCCGATGCAGATGGGAAGTCCTGCTTCGCAAAAAAAAAGAAAAAGAAAAAGAAAAGAATTAAATTAAGCTGGAAGCAAATTAAATCCTTTACAAAGCATGAAGAATGGAAGGGCTTGATCTAGAAGAGCACTGGTTCTTGGTAGAATTGCTGATTTCTTTTAAAGAAATAAGACACTTAATGCCTCTTCCCAAATTGGACACACACGTATGAATGTATATACACAGGCACACATATATACATAAACATATGTATATATAGGCTGCAGATTCCCCCAATCACTGGAGGATGCCAGGGGATCACAAAAGAGCTTTGCTAAATAGCTTTGTAATAGTTGGGAACTTGCTCTTAAATCAATCCATAATCTGAGCTGCCTTTCCAAGCACGACAGCGTCTGCCCTGCTCCCGGCCAGGCAGTGACACCTCGTGACTCCACACCGCTCGCCTTAAATGCTCTTGTAGTTGTACCCAACTGAACTAGTCGATAAAACAGCTTCTTTTTTTTTTTTTCCCCCAGATTCAGAAGAACATTTGAACAACTGAAGCAGGTGATCGAACGCTCACTGGGCTAGGGGTGTCTTCCTGAATCCAGGCCAGTGATCTTTAAAAAACGGAGCTGTGTGTGCGTGACTTTGTTGCTGCATGAAGGGAAATGTGGTCCCAGAGGTCAGCCGAACCAGCCAAGGCATCTGCCCTCTTGCCTGGCCGTGCTGGGCACAGAGCTGTTGGACAGGGACCCACAGCACGTTTGAATTGGTGAGTCTAAGAGACAGTAATTGTTTTATAGTTTAAGAGAAAGAGAGAAAAATCTGCCAGCTCTGATTTGGAATAGTTGCCTGCGAGAGATTACAGCTAGGAGAGGATCAACTGTGTTGCGAAATGGATGGTGGCAGCATGTCTGCTCATGTCAACTGAAGGATGTCCACATTCGCTTTGCAAGCCTTATTTAACAGCTTTTATTTAACCATCTTGCATGTTTGCACGTGACACAGAAGGGTTGCAACCTGGGACCCTGGAGCTGCTTGCAAGGGCTTGGTTAGACAGGCTTTACCCTGGTGAGGGGCTGGGCAGGAGAAGGGATTTACTACGTGGCCTTTGAAGTAAGGCATAGTTCTAGGATAAGTCATTGCAAAGGGACACAGAACTGCAGAAAAACTGGGTTGTGTGTGGAGAATGAGTCCAGTCAGGAGGACAAGTGTAACACTTCTGATGGTGGACAGCAGGTTTATGTCAGAGTGAAATGGTAACTCTGTGCCTTAGGCAAGTCCTGCACAGGACAGCAGAGCTAGACCCAGAGAGTATGGGTTTAATTAATAAAATACCAAAAGGAAACCAGCCACGATGTCTGAGAAGCAAGTTACTGATGGTGTTCTATTGCTTCGCACAAAATCACACTATTTAGGGAAACAGAAATGCTGGTGGTATCTGTTCCTCTTGCAAGTCAGCATCATTTTCTATGAAAGGCAAGTAGAAAAAGCATGTGCGTGTGTGTGCTGTGCAGCTCATGGACAACGATTTTAAAATAAATTTTCAAAAGCTATAGGAAAACCAAAAGGATTTGAGGCAGGGCAGATTGCAGGTCTTTTGCAAATGACTGTGATGGCAGATTTTTGGGAGGATGCAGGGGCGTGAAACAACATACACCAAATTCATCACGATTTTACACATCCTTCTGCATTAATAACAATTATGCAGGCTTGCTCTTTGTTCTCAGGTCATTGATCTAGATTAAATAGGAAATGAAAGAGGAGAAAACAAGTGAGCCCCTGCAACCCATGGTATCTGAAAGGAGTTCCTCTTCTGAATTCCTCTTCTTATCATGTCTGGAAGCAGAGGTCCTGCACAGAGTCAGAGAGGGGCTATAGAGCCCTGCCAGGCTCTGCAGTGGGTACTGACTTTGGAGAGGGCTGAGGACCCCAGCCTGTGGGCCACTGTCCCTAAAAAATTGACTTCTGCCAACCAGCATGGTATTTTCCTGCTTTTGAGTGAATATGTAACCAGCCATGTTCTGATGCCATACTGTCTCCACCTCTATATCCAACACTAAAGCAGAGGGGAAAAAACCCCAACCGATCTGATTAGTTTTCCAGGTGATAAGCACACTTTTCATTCTGCAAAATAACTCACAGGCACTGCTAAAACACTTATATCTGCATGTTAATACAAGAGTGGGGTTAAGGTACCTCCTACTGTTTCTGAAAACAGCAAAAATGATAAAAGGTCACCACAGTACATTACTGCATCACAGAACTGCAATGGGAAAGGACCCAGCAGAAAATTTAATGTCACCACGCTGTGATACAGTCGAAGACCTATGAATATATGGGAGATGGTGAGGGAATCACAGATTGTATTTTAATACTATTCTCTTTTATGTGTGTGTATTATGAGTGTGGAGCTTGTTGCACTGAGCAAAGGGGTTATGCTTTTGAAACATGACTACCTGAAGTTGCTTTTTTAAACAGACCAAATAAATATGAACTATTTAAAGTAAAGAAATGACAGCTTATTACTTGTGATGGTTAGTGTCTTTGACAGCTTTATAACTTTGGAATGAGGGATTGCTAAGAGTAAATGAAACGGGCAGATCCATAGTGTGTGAGCAGGAAGCAGAGGCTGCCTGTGCGATGGTAGTGCAACGCTTAGGGCAAACGAGTGCAGATGGAAGCTGAGGAACAGCTATGGAGGTGGTTAAGGTGCTACAAATTCACAAAACACTCT